ATTCTGAACAATTTTGAATTGTACTGGCTCTGATTTCCTTTATTTTTATGTCGATTATATGCTCTTTTCCTTGTATTTTGCCTTATTTCAGGCATTTATTCAAATGGCTTGCATTCTTTCAGATTCATTCAGAGTCAGTACAATTTAAAATTGCTCAAAATAACTCACCTTCCACTTTCGAAGCCGAATGAAAAGAATTCGCAGCCGAATTCCATGGAAATCAGCTGATTCGCCGTCACCGAGCCGCAGCCGCTGTCGCGTCACATTGCAGCGCGGCTGTGCCGCCCCGACAGTCCGTAATGATGAGGACTGTAAGCGTATCCTCAATGGATGGTAGCGTTCAAAAAACTGGAGGGAGTTGCTCTTTATGGGTTGCGTGACCAGAAACAGATCATAAATCATCTTTTTTTGGTGCATGAATTTATAGCTGATCACGAATACACTGAAGGGCCTGCATTCGTGTACAAATATCTCTCAAACAAGCGGAAAATTCTGAAGACAGTCGACGTCATGGACTAGGTCACACTTGGAGAGTTTCAGTGGAGCAGAAAAAAAAACTGAAGATTCTTCGAATGTGACTGACCAGAAGACTCATATCAGTAAATGAACAAGAACAACTGAAATAAAACTAAAAATGGCAAGAGTCTGAAAGAATCACCTGATGTTCATGCAAACACTTGTCAAGGATATCCTGATCTTCCAGCCGAGCCTCGATAAAAGCATACCTGTGTAAAGAGGAAATGAACGGCGATTCTGCTTTTCCAATGTTTTGTCAACATCTCACCCCACCATTAGCCTTTTTATTCTCCCTCCTCTTATATATCGGATATTACTGTAGTTGAGATGACTACTTTCTCGTTTTCCATTGTTGTTTTTGTTTCTGCTACCGATAATAAATATCAATACAATATTGTGGGGGAAGAGACTTGTACCAAGTAGAGTAATGTAGTAATGCATGGTTAACAAAAATTCATTGTAATTGCTCCATGTTTTTTTTTTCAACGGATTCGTTTTTGAAAGTCGGTTATTTACTGTTCTATGATATTGATTTGAGGAGTTCATCTGAAGAAGTAGTTCAATTTCCGTTAGGCATTTCCGCTTGAACGAAAATTGTACGAGATCCTCTGTGCTCGCTCAAGAACCAGAAATGGCTGAGCACTTCATTTGAAATGGGGGGAAGGGTGCTTTTTATGGCTGCCGTATCAGGACAACTGCAATCATGTCGTTGTCAAGCAAGACAGCATGGCAGTTATTTCGTACAAGAAAATATGCGGTCATGCTTTCCCCATTTCTATGATCGTGTACGTGATCGGTTGGTGGGGTGCAGGCCGTGAGCGGGGGGGGGGGCAGTCAACGCCGATTAGCGCGACGGTGAGTTGCCAGGGGGGAGTCAGGCTCCGGTTGTATTGCGGAGAAAAATTTCTCAAAAATGAAAATTGGATGGAAATTTTAACGAGGTTTCAAATAAAATAACTTATCCATCATAAGATACGACTATGAAACCAAAGATGCCTAGCAGAAAGATCAGCTAGAAAGCACGTCTTCCAAACTTCTGCAGTAATTCTACGAAGAGATCGTCGCGGTTCACCGAAAAATTACCTTTCAACGCCTTGCATCCTAGCGCGTTTCTGTAGAAGAACCATGTCTTACTCTGCCCCATGAATACTCTATCAGCGAGTGCGTTTCGTACTGGGTACTGGATAGATACCGAAAATACCGGTATACAGGGGAGAAACTTCTGAGACTAATTATAGTTGAGGCCACTGGTGTGAGAGGAGGCGGGGTATTAGCTGCGATAATAGACCATGTCTGCTCCTCAACCACCTTCTCTTGCTAGACTCCGGCAAAATTCTTCGTCACCTGGATCACAATCGTTTCTTCACCCTTTCCAGCACTGAATGCCGTCTAATATTTGAAAAAGGGATGACTCAATGGCGTGGGAACGCAATACTCGGGGAGGACCTGATATAATTGGCATACCCTAAATAGAAGGGTTAATGCACTCAAAAGCCCCGCAAATGAAGAAGCATCTTCGTTGCCTAATCTACCACAGAAGATAGCGCTCAATAAATTCAATCATGATACCCAAACCCAGCAATTGTGGACGGTTGCAAGTTTTGTTGATTAAAGCCCAACGACATTCCCACGCACATCTTGTACGAATTTATCGTAAATTTCAAAATTTCAAAGAGGTGTCGACAGAAGAAGAAGAAGAAACTAGAAGCAAAAAAAGAAACAAGAAGGGTAGTTGAGTTTAATAGAGCTCACATGTAACCTTTCACCACCTGTTTCTAATGAAAATATTTACTTATTTTTTATTTATTCTATATAACGGAAACTACTGGCAAAAGTAACTGAAAGGGCAGTAAACGTTGGGAAAACTTCTTCGTTCCGTGAAACAGTTATTTTTCGGAGTATAAGGTGGATTTCGCAGAGTTGCACGCGACAACGTGCGCGAAAACTTGGTAGAACAGTTCCTCATACTCGTTATTAACACCAGTCAGTCGATGACAAAACTTTTCTACAACAGTTTTCGTGTTTTTTCTCTGCATATTTTAACCTTCCAACCGCTTTTCAAGTACCTTTTGTTGAAGAAAGATCATCAATGCTGATAACAACAAAGAAAAATACGCAAAATCAAAGTGAGTAAGAAACATTCGCGACCTTCGAAAGGAATTTGTCCCTTGTACTCAGGAAAAAAAGCAATTTCATTTCTTCGAAGTAGAACACATGTTCAAATTGTTGGGCATTTTAGTGTTTCCTTAGTTATTACTCATTAAGATGTTCTAGTAGGCTAATTGATACGAGGCTAATTGATTAAGAAGACTAATTGATGCAGACTAACTGATTAAAAGACCTTAACTGTTGTCGCTCACAATTGCCTCTAAAGTGTGACCTTGTGTTTCCGCTGGCCTTGAAACATGTGCTCTAAGACAACCACCAAGCGATAAAGAGACACGGTAGCTGTTCGATGAAATTACACCTCACTACGAGGTATTTTTAAGTAACATTCCGGTCTTTCTGACCCCATCCCTAACTGCTTCACGGTAATCACTAGCTTATCGCCAAAAGAGTAGTATCTAAATAGGCACAAATTCGCAAGGAATTAGCCTGGAGGTATAGACGGAATTAATATGAGAAAAGAAGTAACAGTCCTCATCATTGCGGACCGGTGGGGCGTGGCAGTGCGGCTGCGTTTGGTGCGGTTTGGCAAAGTCGTTCTGCACCAGTTTTTGAAGCGGGCAAGTGCAT